ACCCGCCGTGGTGTGAGTGAAGGCAGGCGCAACGTGCCCAGCGTGCCCGGTCCGATCGACAGGCGAAGCACGCATGACAACATGACCCTCCAGCCGGCGGCCCGGACAGGAAGACGAAATGACACGCGAGGGGAAGGGCCCTGCTGGCCGCGCTGCCGAAACACTGACCCACTTGGTGTGCTGCAGGAAGGACGCGCACGCACGGCCTGCACGGCCCGTCCGCCCATCACCGACGTGGGGGCCCTGCGCTGGGGCCCTCGGACGGAGGGAAATATGCAATAATCCGAGACGCAAATCGGTGTCATTGTTTGACTTTCAAGGCCCCGGCCGGCCGGCAGGCAGGCCATGAGGCCCGTATGCTAATCGCAGAGATAGTGCGACGGCCTCGCACCTTATCACGGACACGGGCACACTGTGGCACACAGGCCTCGGACAGACAATGAGGCGACGGAAAGGGAAACTGACCCCCTCCAAAAACAGGGGGATAAAAAGGGCCCGTAATTGGACCTCGCCAGACGAGATCAAGGGCAACCCCGTGACCCTCCATCATGGTGGAACAAATAAAAATGATAAAAAGAAAAGTGGGGTGGGAAAAAAAAGAACGAGACGCGACGGCATACTGATCCGCATTCGCAGAACTCGCCGAACACGGCAGCCTGGCCGGCCTCTCGAGTTTCGCATTTTGATACCAGAACGACGGCCTCGTCCACTCGTCAGCGGAGTGCTTCCAAACATCGCCCTCTCTCTCGCACTCGCACGCCGTGCCCGCCAAATCGGCCTGCAGGCGAGTACCTGGCGGAGCGCCGCGCGTGGGGGAGGTGGCCGAGTGGCCGGCCAGCTGGAAGCACACTGGAAGCGGCAGCGGGGACTCCCCGGCGACGTCGAGTTCGCGAGAAAATGAGCAAACAGCAACAGGTGTGCGGGCTGCGGCGCTGCGGCTACACCACTGTGCTACACCTACACCCCCGCGCAAGCCACGAGCAGGTGGCGGACATCCACATGTCATCCCGGCAAGCCAGCCGCGACGCCGCGCTGTGCGACGACGGCCACCCCTCGGCAGAGACCCTCCCGTAGGTGGCGGCGCGTCCGGGAGCGCATCGCGGAGTCCGGTCCGCGCGACGCGACACCCTGCTGACGCCGGCGGGGCCCTAGCAGGGCGCAGCCGCGTCATCCTCCGCGTCGCTCCTTGGTTCCCAGCGCCCTCTTGGCTGGCCAGCTCGTCTTGCGCCGATTCGGCGGCCAGCGTCGCGAAAAAGGCGAGCGGGAAGAACGCGGCGCGCGACGCCTCTCGCTGCCTCACCACCCCGCCGCTCCAGGCCCTCCTGCACGTGTGCAGGCCCGCTGCAGTGCTGGCGCTGCTCGCACGCCTCGGACGTGCCCTCCCTCCAGGACGGCGTCCAGGAAGCGCCCCGCCGTTCCCCGAAGCGGCGGTGTACGCCGAAGGGGAGGAGGCCCCGGATTACCCCGCGCCACCCCCATCATCGCGGTGATGGCGTCCAAGGTCCCGGCGCTTAATTACGCCAGCGACGCGCAGCCACCTGGCGGAGCCACGCGGAGCCTGGTCGGCCGCCTCAATTTACGACGCTAACCCGTCTATAGTTTAGCATAAGCCAAATTCCCCCGCCAGGCACGGCGCGGCACGGCACGGCACGGCCGCCTCCCGCGCAAATAAAGTGCCTCGTTAGCCCGCGTGCAGAGTCCTTCCGTCGCCCAGTCCTTCCGACAGCCCGGCTGGCCCGGCCCGCCACACTGTCAGCCATAGATGCGGGCCGCGGCAAGGCCTACGTACTCCGACAAGTCGAGGGAAAAAAGGAGAAGGGACGCGGCGCGCGGTTGTGTCGCGCAGCGGTAGGCAGGTCCAAAGGCCTCGGGCCTCGAGCACCACTACACTGCTTGGAGAGGCTACCAATTCCGTAAGGCAATTTGGTGACAGACGTGGTGGGATTAGCCCGACAACGACAACCACTCAGTACATACTTCGCCACAGATCGTCGTCGCTGTCTCTCCCGCAGCCCTGCAGAACGCCCTCGGAGTGCGAGAGAGACAGACAGGCGGGCGTACCACCGCGACGACCCATCCATACGCGATGACGCGCGAACCCCTATCCCCGTCTCCGCGCGCGCGGTGCGGCGCGCCAAAACAGGAGCGGCAAGGACACCGCCACCGGAAGCGCGGTACACTAGCAAGGGCCAACAGCGCCAGCAGCGCCGAACGTGCGGGCGCGGTTGGCGCACAAGGCAACGCGTGGCACAGGGCCGGTGGCGCCGCGCGACCCCCAAGCAGTGCGTCCGCGTGCCCCGCGCTTGCGACGCCTCGTCCGGACCGAGCGCCCCGCCCCGCCCCGCCGAACCCCGTCTGGCTGGCGTTCCCGTCGTTCTAGCTTGGTTCCAGCGTCGTCGGCGTTCCGGCGACAGCATGGCCGCGGAACGGGCCGGCCAACACGCCGGCCAACATGCTGACGACAGCAACGGCCTGCAGGGGCTTAGCCGAGCTCAGCTTAGGCCCCCACTGCACCCCGGCCCGTCCAGCCTGGCCAGCCCGAGCAGCCAGGCCACTTCCAGAAACTGCAGCAAGCCAGTGGGCGGAGCGGCGCAGTGCCACGCAGTGTCTCAGCCCCGTCCGGCTGATGCTGCGCTGCCCGCCAGCCCCGGCTGCCCGCCTGCCGTGGGAATCCCGACCCGCAGCCGACCCTGCCGCCCGCCTGCCTGCCAGCTCGGCCAGCCCCGCCGGCCCCGCCCGCCATGCGCACCGTCAACAGGAGATAGAACACGCCTCGCCTCGCCTCGCACAGCCTCGCACACACGCCACACACGCTGGGGGCCTTCTCCTCCTCCTCCAGCCTCCCCGTGCTGCCGCTCAAGGCGCACCAAATGCGTGCGGCAGGGCCGTGCGGCGTTGCCGGGCGTTGCCGGCGCAGCCCAAGCCAGGGGTGCTCGCAACAGGTGCCGCGGGGTTGGCGCCGTTGGCGGTCCGGGGGCCGGGCTGGCCGGGCTGGCCGGGCTGCAGCGGCACTGCATCAGGTCAAGGACGCCAAGGACGCGGTGGGCGGCGCGGCGAGGTGCTGCAGCGACCGCGGCTCCTCCACGCTCTTGGCCTCTGCGAGGTCGCGCGACGCGACGACGTGACCCCAAGCGCGGCGGCAGCGCGGCGGCGTTGTTGGTGGCCCTCCCTTCCTGACGCTCCGGGCTCCGCTTGTGCTCCGCTCCGGATCCCTAGCATGTCCCCGTCTCATTTTTCCTCATTAGCCCTGCAAGGCGAGACGGCCCGGAGCCCGGGAAGGCCGGTGTGGCGCGTCGACACCACACCGTCACTCCCCGAGTCGTTTCCGGGTCGCCGTCGAGTCGCCGCGGTGCCGCCCCCCGGCCGCCCATGCTCCCCTCGCTCTGTATGCCTGACCCTTCTTTTTTTTCGTCCCGTTTGTTTCCTTTTTCGAAGTGCAGGCTGCTTGCTGCTTTCCATGCCGGGCCGCGCCGGGCGGGCCTAGGCCAGGACCGCCCCGTAAACAAAATGAAGGTCCGCCGGTCGGGCCGGCTTGGCCGTGGGGCGCAACGCACTCACCTGGCAAAGCCTGAGGCAAAGGGCGAGGCGAGCCGATCGAACGAGATTGAAACAAAGCGACGCTCCTGTCGATCGAAATGAAGACGGGCGAGGCGTGGCGGGGCGAGGCGAGGCGAGGCGACCCCAGGCGCGTGCGTGTGTGCCCTTCCGCCGAGTGTGACCCAGCGGACCCAGCGGACCTAACCCCCAGGTCCCTCTAGAGGCCTCTAGAGGCCAATTTCCTTTCCATGTGGCCCGCCCAAGGGCCAGCCACCCCGCAGCGCACGGGCGTGACTGGACATAGATAAATCGCGAGTCACGGCCACCGTCACGCGCGTGACCGACGTCGAGTGCTACACTACTATTGTGCAACACCGCCCCCTTCAGCCGTCACTCGCGTTGGTCTCATTCCGCATGTGCACCGGTTCGAGGTGTTCCAGTTCGGCCGCGCCACTGTAAATAGTGCTGCCCGGCGAGGCGATGACGCGCCAGCGAATGGAGAATGAACGCGAGATGAGCAACGAGGCGCGCGGCAGTGCGCGGCAGCGGGGGGCAGTGCCACGCCGTCAAAGGCCCGTCCAGAATGGACGCTTGATTAACGCGACGTGCCGTGGCGCCGCGGGGCGGGGCGGGGCGGGGCGGGGCGGGGCGGGGCAGTCCGCGGGGGCGGGGACACGCCCTCTCCGGCCGATAACGCCCCCGCACCGCACCGCCACACACCGCGCGATAATTCAAATAGGAAGCCGTCCTGCCGCCCGTCGACCTCGCCGACGTCGACAAGAAGACGCAGAAAAAGACAGCCGCCGCGCGACCTCCGCGCCACCTGTGGCGGGCCGGCCGGGCCCCGCGGGGACGGCGACCCTGCCCGATTGAGATAGACGGGCGCGCCGGCACGGCGATGGACGACGCGGGGCCCCGAGGAAAGACGCCGTGTGCGTCAAGCTCGTCAAGCAGCTGCACTTCACCTGGCGACCCACTTCGGGCCCGTCACCCCGCCCTGCTAGGGTGGCGGCAGTGCAGGCCCCTCCCAGCGCCCTCTGCCGGCGGGAACCCCCAACCCGGCCGCGGGCCGACCACCTATCCTCTCACTTTCGTCCGGGCGGCCGCGGCGACAGGAGAAACCTCTTGGCCGCCTACAAGCAGCGCCCCAACGCCACTCCGCGGGGCGGGGCGGGGCGGGGCGAGGCGGGGCCGCAGATAAGGCGTCGATAAGGCCCCCGCGATAAGCACGCCGTGGGCGCGCCACCCCGCAGTAGGTCGCGGTCCGCGTTAAATAGGTCAGCAACAGTCGCCCCTTTTCGCCCCGCCCCGTCAAGGGTGGCGTGACCGGCGGTGACCGGTGCACCCGTGCACGCCGGCCGAAACGATTCTGCTTTACACAAATCGCTCAGAGGTGTAAGTGCTGTATTCCCCAATTTTCGCTGAAATTCTTGTGGTCGATTAAAGAGCCTGTCGCTTTTTACCTGAGATGGACTCGCTCGTGTCGGAGCAGTGGCTGGTGCCGACAAAGTTGGAGTGCCCCTGGGGGAGCCCTGGCAGCCCTGGCAGCCCCTGCAGTCCGTGCAGCCTGTGCTGCATCATCATGTTCTGGCGGGGCTGCGGGTTGCCGTGCAGGTCCAGGTCCCACAGCTCCAGGTCCACGTCGCCGATGTCCGACGACTCCAGCGAGTGCGTGGGGCTGATGACACCCCCGCTGCCGTTGGCGCCCATGCCGGCGCCCATGCCGGCGCCGAGGCCGTGGTGGTGGTGGTGTCCGAGGCCGGGAAGGCCGTGGGAGGTGGAGGCCACGACGCCCAGGGCGCCGAGCGAGCCCAGGCCGAGGGCGCCCAGGGAGCCCGACGAGGACGTCACCTCGGGGGAGCTCTCGGGGGCGCAGAGGCCGGCACCACCCGGCATCATCACGCCGCAGCCCCCGCGAGAGAGCAATCCAGTCATCATGGTGTCACTGTCACGATCGTCACACTGCGTCACACTTGGTCACGGCACTGTCACTTCACACGCACACTCTTCAAAAACCGGCAGCAAGCTCCACTGTCATGCTGGTTGGTGCGGTATGCAGCAGCGGTAATCCACAAGGGTCGTCACGATCGTGTCACGATCGTGTCACGAGGAGCGACGCGTCGCCACGGCAGGGTCGTGACCGTCACGCCACGGCCAATCCGCACTGCGGACGCGAAAGGGTTCCCACGGGTACGACACTCACGGGACGGACGTGCGGCCGCCAGCAAGTCGACATGCGAACTGGCTGCCTGCCGGCTGGCCGGGCCGCCTGGGCCGCGCCGCCGCGCCGGCCAGGCCGCAGCCAGGCCTACCGGCGGTCCCGGCTCGGCCCGGCTCGGCTCGGCCCGGCTCGGCTCGGCACCGGGGCGCTTGCCTCGGCTCCACTCGGCCGCGCCACAGCGCTCCGCACGGCCGGGCTCGGGACTCGGGAGGCAATCGGGCGCAGGGAGTGGGACTCGAACGAAGCAGCGAAGCACTCCGATGACGTCAAGGCTCTCTGCCTCCAACCTCCACTGCAACCTGTGGCTGCGGCTGCCTGCTCGGCTGCCTGCTTGGCGGCCCCGCCTGCCAGCCCGGCTCGGCTCCGACACATCATCCCCGCCTCGCCCCGGCTGGGCTCGCACAGCTCGGCTCGGCTCGCCGGAGCCAAGGATGCGATGCGACCAGGCCAACCCCCTGCCCTTCCCCTAGTCCCGGCCCCTCGGTCCCGGTCCCGACCGACCCCAGGCCCAGGCACCCTCCCATCCCAGGACCGCATGCCTGCAGCCTGCACTCCTCACCCACATTTCCAGCCCAGCCAGCCCCGGGCCGTTTTTTATGGGGGACCCTTCGGCACCGAGCCCCCTCCCCTGCACTCCCTGCACCGCTGGCGGAACAACATGGATTCAGTTTGAGGAGTTGCAGCACCCTTTCCGACCCACACTTGCTGGGTTCAACAAACTGCAGCACACACGCACACACACACACACACACACACGCGCGCACACACACCGAGCCTCGCACGCACGCGTGACTCAAGCAGTGACTCAAATTGTAAGCGTCCCTTTCGATCGGCTCTCGGCCACGTCGAGATGACGAGGCGCAAGGTTATCTCACGTTTCAGACGCCCAGACGACGGGCACTGCACATGGGCATTGACAAGCTTACTTTGACTTTCGGAGCGGCAGTAAAAGCGCGCCGACCGAGTCACTCACTCACTCTCGCTCGGCGGCTCGGCTCCGCGGCCGGAATGCAGCCAGGCTCACCTGCGAACACAAACGGGAAAATGGGCGTTAGTGAAAATGACGAAAGCCGGCCGCGGATCAAAGTGTGGAAAGAGACGTCATCACGTCGTCCGATATGCAAATGCGAAAGGCAAGGCGGTCGGAGTCTGATGAAAATTTAAGGGGCATTGTGGCAGCCATTGCGCGGCCACGCACGGGGTAAGGTCAAGCCCGGGGGACGGGTACAGCATCGCCAACCCGGTTCAGCCTGGATTTGGGGGGGGGGGGGAAGGACACATCGGAAGACGATGAAGCTCCTTCCTCGTCGCTCTCGGCGTAATAATGAATCAACGTTTCCGCTCTCCTTTGGCTTCTTTAGCGTGGACGTGTGAACAGGACCCTCCTCGCCCCGAACGGACCCTCTTCGGCCATCCGCGAGCATTTATTACCATTTTAAATCTCCGCTGAGAAAGCCAAAATAATTAGAGGGCCCGCGTAGTAATTAATTAAAGGAGGCAGAAGAGGAGCGGCGACTCAGTCAGCCGCCGAATTTCATTTTCCAGGCGCAGGCACTATAGGAAAAGGGAGCGGCGGGGATCGAAAAACAAGTACGAAGCGATATCTAATTTTTAAAGGTCGCGTGCACACAGACGGCCGACTGTTTGTCACGTGTAGGCTCGCCATATAACCAGGACGCGAAAGATAGCCCGGCCTCGCGGGTCCGCGGGCCGACGCGACGTGGAAAAACAGCGGCATTCAAGGAACCCGATCGACTTGGCCGCGCTGGCCGCCGAGGCCGCCATGGCCGCGCTCGGCACATTTCGAATTTAGAGCGCGCTGCAGCGCCGCGGCGCCGCGGGTGCTTGACTTTGCCCAGGGATGACCCACATGCCGCGATGAGTAGCGTCAACAGGCCGCGCTGCCGCCCGCTGCCGCGACGCGTCGGGGAGAGACCTTGCCGCCTCAGCGCGGCGCGGCCAGGCACGGCGCGCCGGCCGGATTGGCTTAGCAGGTGCCGTGCCTGGGCGCTGGGGCCCGCGGCAGCCCGGGGCGTGTTTGTTGCACTGCCACCGCAGCGAATGACCTTAATACGCCACTCGAACGTGTGCAAACCGATAACAGCGAACAGCGTCAACGCTCGCCTTCGCGCGCCGCGACGCCGCCGCCGTCGTGTCGCCTCCGCGGCCTCCACACCGGGGCGGGGCGGGGCGGGGCGGGGCGCAGCGGGGAGCCGAGCCGAGGCCAAAAGCAGGGCAAAGCTGCCAAGCAAGCCGCCGTCACCGTCACCACCGCCAGGCTGCTGCTGCTGGCGAGGGACGGGCAGGCAGCACGGCGGCACGGCACGGGGCGCGTTGCGCCAGTCAAACAGATTATTCGCCTGGCGCGTTCGCTGATAAAGCTGAGTACATAACACACCTGCAGCCAGCACGCAGCACGCGGCACGCAGAGGGTGAACGGGCACGACCGTGCCGTCGATTCCCCACCAAAAGCACGCCCCGCCACAACACCACCGCGGCGTCTGGAACGCCTCACGCCGTTGGGCCGTTGGGCCGTTTGCGTCGGCCTGGCCGCCTGGCGGTGTAGTGCCCTGCCCCTGCCCAGTCTGTTTACGCCTGGCCGGCCGTCCGGCCCGACAGTGACTTTATTTTTGAATGAGTCGGCCGGGCCAAGAAGTCCGCCGGGCCGCGGCGGCCGCGTCGACGGGGCCCAGCAGGCAGAGGGCAGAGCCAAGGCACGAGACGGGCCACTTCCCTGGACACTTTCCCTGACATTACCCTGACTTTGTCGCCGGCCAACAGGAGGGGGAAGGGTGTTGGGGGCGCCACGGCGACGCCCCGTCGCACATTCGCCACGCGCCTCCGCGGTCGCCGGCGCCGCGACGCACGCACCACGCACGCACGTCGCACGCGTCAAGTGGGCGCGGGCAGGGCGTCCACCTAGGCCAGGCCGTTGACGCCGTGCCGGCCGGCTGTCTGTACACCGGCAGCAGGCAGGCAGGGGGTGCCGAGCTGCGCGAGTGCGCACGACTCACCTTGGCGGGGCGGGTCTAATATTGGCGTGGAAAAAACTCGCCGCGCCTCTTCTGCCAATGAAAACGCGACGCCACGCCGCGCTGTGCCTACGCCGCCGCCGCGAGTGCACCGACCCCCGACCTTCGCAAGGACTCTGCCTCCCCCCCTCCCAACCCGATAGGCCGGCCGGCGGGCCATGTGTGTTGACTTGGTGGAAGAGGAGAGTTGGAGGGGGGGGGGCGTATGACGCAGTTCAGCCCCTTTCAGAGGCCCTGGCGGGCTGGCCCTGGCCTGCCCCACGCCGGGTCGGCAGCAACACGACGACGCCGTCCTCGGGGGTTCGGGGGCCGGACCAGTCAGTGGACGTGGACCCCAACGGACCGCGGTTTCCTCGACGCCGGCTTCCCAGAAATCACAGGAGTAATCCCTTCCGAATCTCTCTCTTTCCCCCTCACGAACACGGACCCCCTTTTCCTCCTGCGTGCTGCCGCTCGCACTTTAGGGCCGCCCCCGCGAGCGAGTATCTTATCGACCGCGCCGCCACCGTGGAGGGCATCTGCAGCACCGCGCCCCGCGGTTGGCGGTGCGCCTCGCCCTGCCGGCCCTGCGCGGCCCTGCGTGTTGCGCGGGTTCCCGCCCTATGCCTAAATTTAGCGCCAGCGCGGCGGGGCCCACTAGGCGGGGCCCACTAGGCGGGGCCCAGCGGGGCCGGCCGGCCGCCGCCTCCGCGCGCGCCGCCTCGGGAGTGCCTTGGGATAGGTCCTGCTAGGCGAATCAGCGCGGCACGCCACGCCACGCCGCGGCGACGCGACGCCATTCAAATCCCGACGCCGTTCGCGCCTCGCACGGCAGTCCGTCCCGCACTCCGCACTCACACCGACACGGCCAGAGTCGCTCGCTCCAATCCCTCCAATCTGCCGATCGCCAAAGTGCCCATTAGCCGCGAGAGCCGCGAGCCAGTTTACGTTTTTGCTGCCGCCTGCAATTCTCATTCTCAGCCCGACGGGCAGACGGGCAGAGCCGGCAGAGCGAGAGAGTCGCGTGGACTTGGAGGAAAGAGAAGCACCGATTGGTCGTCCGCCTCCACTTCCCCGTCGTCGTCGTTATGGCCGTCATTTCCAAAGGCTGCCGAGATAATCGCTGATAAGAGCCCCACCGCGGAGGGGCGCCGAGGAGGGCCCGTCCGTCAGCACCCCGGCCCCCTCCACGCTTTAGGCGCGGCCCCCGACCCCCCGACGAGGCACGCGGTGCTGCGCAGGGCGCCGCAGTGCGGCGAACCAGGACGACGACGACGGTCCCCGCGGCATGGTTCGCGTCCCGCGCGCCCAAAAATAAAATGGCGAGGAGGCGATGGACCTGTCGAGCTCGAGGGTGACTGCGCGACGCAGCCTACAGGTGCGCGGGAGGGGGGAGGGGGAGGGCAGTGGCTTACATAAATCACCCGCGAGGTGGACAGGACACTCCACCGACAGCTCCACCGCCGCGAGAAAAGAAAATCGCCCACGAATTTGTCTCGATGACTCGACTCGTCGCAAGCGATCGTGCGCTCGGCCGTCAGTGCAGGGGACTCAGGAAACGCAGCTGCGCTATTCCGAAGAATCGTTCCGTCGCTCTGTCTCTCTTGTGGCTCCCGCACGCACCATGAGTGCGACAGAGACGGAGTGACGAGACAACTCTTCGGAGTCGGCCTGCACCTGCGGCGGCCCGAGCGGCCAGGGCCACTTGGTGGTGGCGGGCCCGACACGGCCCGACGGTAGCCAAGTCCATAGAGGACTCTAGCCAGCAGCACAGGTGCCTGGCGGCGAGCGCTCGCGGCAAGGTACCTCTTGACGTCACTGGGCACCAGGAGCTACCGCGGTGCCGCCGTGGCAGTGTGGCAGTCCTCGTGTCCGGAAGCCAGTGCCGTCCGGCAGGCTGGCTAGGCTGGCACACTGCACCATCTGCATCTGCCGCGAAATGTGAGCCACACAGCCGGCCTCTGCCGCGCCGCCCCGCCCCCACACAAATGAACAGTGTGGGGTGCACCTGTCCGCCCCGCCGGC